TGTTTTGTAATTGTGTGTGTGTTTGTATGTGTACTTTCTTTCTGGTAATTTTTTTTTTATTAGAGAAAAAGGAAGGGGGAGAGAGAGAAAGAGAGAGACGGGGAGGGGAGGGAGAGAAGAGAGAAACATTGATCTAAGAGTGACACATCAACGCTGCCTCCTGCATTCCCCCCACCAGGATGGAGCCTGCGACTCAGGCATGTGTCCTGACTGGGAATAGAACCGGCAACCTTTCAGTGCACAAGACAACACTCTACCAACTGAGCCATACTAGCCAGGGCTTCCTGGTAATTTTTTAGAGATTACAAAAAGTATTTATTTGGTAATACCTCCATTTCCCCCAGTGAGTTACATTCTTACAGTTTCTTGTACTCTGTTGTAGATACTGATGTTATGTGTTTTCTTCCCCCTTTAAAAGAGAGGTTTGCTGATAAGGAAATAGTTTGTGATTTTATCAGAAAGGATCAGACAGCCAAAATGATTTGTCCTAAGTTGCAGTAACATTTTAAGAGGTGTACTTTCCTGTTTCTATCGGATGTCTGAAAATTCTGGAAACATAGGGAGATTTCTTTTTACTTTAAATGTGCTTGTTGCATTTTCAAATGGCATGCTCAATATTTCTACCTTCAAGCTCCGGGCATCTTGCTTGGCAAACTTCCTTAATTTTAAAGCCACGGCTTCAGTTAGTAATCTGAAAAGGTATAATAAGTTATATATAAATTATTTTCCCTGTTTTTATTCTTTCAGACACCTACTTCTAAAGGGAAGCCTCTTTTGTGCTAATAAAAGTATGGTTCTTTTTCCTGATTATTGATTCCTCATCCCAGCATTTGTCCCAGCCACACATTAATGTCTGGGTGAATATTTGATTATGTGACTGTAGACTGTAGGTCAAGGAGAGCAAGAGCCAGATTATGTTGACTGTAAGCTCTATGAGAGCAAGGTCCAGTCTGCTTGCTCACCATTGCATCTTCAATATATAACATAATGCCAGGTGCATGGTCAAAGCTCAATAAATAATTGAAAAAAGCTCAATCAATAAATGAATGATGAATGATTGGGATTAAAGACCTACTCAGCATTCACTGATGAGTGTACATGTTATATGTATAACCATGTGGGTGCTAGTAACTAATTTGGTTTTCAGTGAGTCAGTGTGTTTATTAGGAGAAATGTGGACTGGATCCCAGTGAAAGAAGCATTTCCTATAGACTTGTGGGCTTTAGAAGTCATTTATATTTTAGTTCTCCCATTTTATAGACGAATCCCACAATGCTGGGATCAAAATGATTCAGTGGGTAGGTGACTGTCAGGATAAACTGGGTCTGACATCCAAGCCAGAGGTTTTTTTTCTTACTGTCCCGTACCATTCCCTTGAATCATTGTCAAGATTATATGTTTATTTAATCAGTTTGCCCACAGTATAGGCAAAAAGAGAAGACTGAAATTTTTCAGTTGAAGGGGATTACTTTGTTTTTTTTACTTGGCTAGTTTTGCTTTTATACCTAGCCTTGTGAACGTCTTCATAAAAATGTCTTAAAACAACAACTACAAAAAGATATGGGAGTCCAATAATTTCATTTCCTGGTATAAGACTATTGCCAGAGAATTATTAAAATTTTATTCTGAGAGAAACTCCATCTGATTAAGTAGTGGAAACAGACTTAGCAAGTTTGAGCAGTCATATACAGTGTGCTTTTTACCCATTGTTGATAAGAAAAGTAGGTCATCAATTATAGGGAACATTTTGAAACACATTCATCATTAATTTTTAAAGTGAGATTGCTGTGTCAGTCATGTCTGTAAAAGTCTGCAGTTGGTATGAGAACTCTTGGGATTAATTTGGCTCTTTGAAGAGAGAGGCGGAGTTCAGCTTCTGAGTCTGCTAGTCTCCCGAGGTGCACTTTAGGGAGATGACTGCAGCCTCAGACGAGTATATATGTTCCACAGCATTCTCTGGCAGGTGGTGCCTGCCTCTGTCTGTGAGGGAGGTTCCTCAGTTCCTTTCAAAGCTCCAGGGATGGGTGGAGGTGGTTTTGTAGCAGAAAATTAGAAGAGAAGAAGGATTGTAAACACATCATCCTGTACATTATTGTGGGGAAAATTTATTCTTACTTGATAGTGTAATAAAAATATTATTTCTGTCATTGAAGAGCAAGAGATGACTCCTAAAGCCTTATAATGTCATGTTTTAGTAACTGCAAAATTTCTGTAATGTCATTCTTATTTATTATATTTCACTTGAGTTACAGGCCCATTAGTGCATCTTTTAGTGATCAAGGGTCTCTGTTTAATATCGATACAAGTATAAAAGAGAAAGATTTCTGTACATTTTTTTGTTTTTAGGATCTTTATTTTGCTATTTTGCTGTACATTTTCTTATTTCTTTTTTTTTTAAACTCAGCTTTATTGAGGTATTTAAAGTGTATATCGTGATTTGATTTATGTATGTAGCTCATTTCATTTCTTTTCAGACTTCATTTTTTAGCAGTCATTTTCATAGCTGCACATTCTACTCTAAGTTGTTAGTCAGTGTTTATGTTGATGGTAGGTGTTCTCCAACTTTGCTCGAAGTTCCTAAAATCAGTATAAAATTATAAAATGTAAAGTTGGGGTTTTCTTCTTAGAAAACTTTAAAAAGTATAAATGTCTTTAAACCTTGCCTTTTAGAAGTGTGTGTGTGTGTGTGTGTGTGTGTGTGTATGTGTTTCTAGAGTTTTATGCATGTCTTTTCATGCAGTTGTTTTGGACAGTTGAGCACATAGGCCTCTGGCTTAAGACTACAGTTTTCAATCAGAAGTAAACATTTGGCATACCTGTTGTTCTCAGCATATTTGAATGCTTATCACCAGCTTCTCTGTTCTGATTTTTCTGTGTTTTTTGCATGAGCAAAATGCAATTTCATATTTAAAAATTGCACAAACAGGCCTGGGGGAACTATGAGTTTTGTTGAGGCAGCACCCCCATGAAAGAGCTCTGAGTGGCACTCTTGGCTGATGTGGGGAAGCCAAATTGTATGTATGAAGAGGAGTTTATCTTTGAAAAACTATGGAAGTTCAGAGGGTGGAAAGTTGAACTGGCCTGCACTTTGCGGTTTGAGGTCATGTGTCTCTCTCAGAAGTCCTTTAACTTTGGGCAAGTCACAGTGTCTCTGGGCTGGAAATGAAGGGCCTGGAATGGAGTTCTAGAACCCTCTCTCCCCCAGGCTTCTGTGAGGACTGAGCCTATAGATCTTACTTGGATTTTCTCATTTTTCCCCCCTAGAAACATTAAAAAAATGATATTGGGTTATTAAATTGAAACAAAGTACATTTATAATTGGTATGCATCATTTGGCTTCTTACCTATTACCTGAATGAGTAGGGGGATGATACTGTTTGGAAGATTATAATGAGTATGAATTTTCCCCCTTCTTTTTTTTTTTAAACTCCCGTTTATTCTTACCATTTTTGTTTTCATGATCAATTGAACCAATATCAAGGCAGTTTAATATTTGCAGTTAGTTGTCTTAAGCGTTTAACAGTTTTTCTAGAAAAAACTTTCCCCCCTCTATATTTCAATGTCATTAATGGAGTGCAAATCCTTTTCAGCCATAGCTGTTATGTATGAGGTCTGTCGTGTGTCTGATTTTTCTGCTGTGTTTTGTGTTTTATATCATGTGGTCGTTTTTCATCATTGTAAAACAACTTCTATTAAAGTAGGTAAATTAGGCATCCCCTCCCCCCCTCTTGGGATGTCTCATATGAATCTGTTAATTAAGGAAATGGATGCAACCAAAATGATTTGCTAAGGTGAACTCTTCAAATGTCACTGGTAGGTTTTGTTTTAAAAAATTTTAAAAAGCTCAGCCAACTCATATCCAGAAATGATGAATGTTAAATTTTTATATTTAATTATAGTCCCTCCCATATTTGCTTTGGGTGTCTGCTCCTTTGTGAATGTGTATTCTACGTAGGCTTACATATTACATTTCCAACTTGTTAAAAGGAATTTTTCGTGTTGGGATTGCCATTTAAATAGCTGAGCTTAGCATATTTGTTGCCTCATTTGTTATTTTACTTGCCATTTTCTATTAAGTAATAGATCTCTTCCACATTAAAAAGTACCTGCCATAAAAGCAGCAACTTAGAGGGAACATGTTCTTTCCCCACTGGGATATTCTGGAGTCCTCCTGCGGTCCTGGCTAGGGAAAGTTCTCAGCCTGATGATGCTCTGGAATGGTCTCTGCAAATGTTTTGAGCAGGATTTTGCTCCTAGTAGGGGTTTTCCTGTATGTGTTCCTAGCAGGATGTGTTTCCTTTCATATGAACCATAGAAGTACATCTGCTGGGATCTTTAAACAGATAACTTCTCAATAAACAAGGAAATGTCAAAATTGTGGTCATTTTTTAAAATTAGATTGATGGAAGTCAGAATGGAGAAAAAGTAGTAACATTTACTCAGTTTTTCCAGTATATTTTATTTAGTGCCATTACAATATAAACACTCTGACTTGTATACATTTTTTCCTCCTCCTACCCAATACATTTCTTATGTATGGCTTATGAATTAAATTTTCTGTCATCTGATCATCAATTGAGTGTATTTTATTCTGAGAATGATTTTTTAGTGAACTTCCCTCGGATACTTATAAAGTAAGTCCTTAAACCGTAGAAATAGACATTATTATTTATTCTTCTGAAATAACCGACCCTAGCCCTAATAGCTGAGCCTAATCCCGAATAGCCCAGGATCGCCCTAACAGCCTAGTCTAATCCAGCATAGCCAAGCCTAAGTTGAGCCCAGTCCCGAAGAAGGAGCCTAACTCTGAGGTCGACCTTATTTTTACAGCTTGTTCTTGGTAAAGATGTTTACCCTTTTTTTTGTTTCATGGATGAGCTGTTAGTATCATGAATGTCAGAATGTAAATTAGTACAGCTAATATGGAAAATAGTATGAAACTTTCTCAAAAAAAGTAAAAATAGAACTGCCATATGATCCAGCAATTCTATTTTATTTTTTAAACTACGGAATGCTTTTCGAATTTGAGTGTCATCCTTGTGCAGGGGCCATGTTAATCTTCTCTATATTGTTCCAGTTTTAATACATGTGCTGCCACAGTGAGTACCAGCAGTTTTACTTTTGGGTATTTGTACAAAAGTAACAAAATCATTGGCTTGAAAAGATATCTGCATCCACATGTTCATTGCAGCATTATTTATAATAGCCAAGATATGAAAACAACCTAAGTGCCCATTGACAAATGGATAAAGAATGTGAGGTATATAAAATAAAACAATGGAATATTACCTCATATATATAAAAGTCTAAGCCACCGGCTGGCAATAGTTATGATGCGCACAGACCACCAGGGGCATAGATGCTCAATGCAGGAGCTGCTCCCTGGTGGTCATTGCACCGGCAGGAGCCTCGCCCACCTCTGTGGCAGCGTGGCAGGCACAGCAGGATCTGAATGAGCAGGATCGAGCCCTCTGGCTCTAGCTCCTCCCTGGCCCTCTGCTGCTTCAGGCGCTAACTACTACCCCTGTGGGCTCCCAGATTGCAAGAGGGTGCAGGGTAGGCTGAGGCACCCCACTGGTGCATGAATCTGTGCACTGGGCCTCGAGTTCATTATAAAAAAGAAGGAAATCCTTCCATTTGTGACCACATGGATGGATCTTGAGGGCATTATGCTAAGTGAAATATATCAGACAGAGAAAGACTGTATGATATCACTTATATGTTGAATCTAAAACTTACAAAAAATCTTGAACTTGTAGAAAAGAACAGATTGGTGGGAGTCAGAGGCAGGGATTGGGGTGGTGGTGGTCAAATGGATGATGGTGGTCAAAGTGACAGAGTTTGATTGTATAATTAACAAGTCCTGAGGAAATAATGTACAACATGGGGATTATGAAAAAGATACATTTTAAAAAAGAAATTTATTATGATGGTTGTTGGACAATCAAGACCCAACCCTTAATTCTCTGTCCTTCAGTATCACCTGGAAAATTGGGCTGGGGAACTACTATTCATATTTCTAAAATAGAGTTTTCAACTAAATTCCAGTGAGTGAATTCCATAGTTGAGTCTGTGCTCTCTCAACCTATCCTCACATTGTTCAAATACCAATTTTTATCATAATGAAAATGATTTAAAAATAATCCCAGTTTTACTGGAAATATGGGTAGGATGATAAATTGCACGTTATAAGGTCTTACATAAGGTTTGTGGAAATTCAAAACTACATTGCATTTTCTCCTATCTAAAGTCAATACATTTTGACATTTGGTAAATATTTGATTTGCTTAATAGATGACTTATGTCTACATCATCTCCTTTAATACTGTGATGATCCTCCAAATGCAAAGGTCCTACAAAGTTTTAGGAATTTGTTCTTGAAAGACATTATAAGTAGGCAACTTCTCCAAGGTTGAACTCTGGTAAGATATTTAAAATTGTGTCAAGTAGTAGTATTTCCTTGGGCTTTTTATTTCAGGATTTTTAAAATTTACTTTTTAAAATATAATTGAGAATTAATTTATAAAATACTTCGGTTTTGAAGGATGCTTTAGTTGTGTGATTTGGGACAAGATATTTAATGAAAGAATTAAGTTTGATGGTATGACATTGTAATTTGAAGTTTGTAGCTAAACAATAATATGATGAAACACCTAATAAAACTTGATAATGCAGGCAGCTGTCTTGTGAAGAAGGGAGTTTTTCTGTGTGAGATCCCTATTTTCCTTTATTAGAGGAGAAATTTTGTGTAGTGAATTCCATGCTGAGGTGAGGGAACAAAAATATTTTGTAAAGGGTCCTTGAAAACTGATGCTGGTTTTCATATGTGAAAATTGCACTTTTGGCCATAATCAGTAGAGAATTTATTTGTCTTTTTTCCCCCCTTGGGTAGAAAAATCTATTAGTGGGCTCTTAAATAATAATTGCTAACATCAGAGTCTGTGCTCAGAACTTTGCAGCTTTAAAAAAAAACCCACATCTTTTTTGAGATATACTTCACATACCTCACAGGACAGGCTATCTGTCTGTTCTTGTTCTAATACCTTACTGTCTTGATTTCCATTGGTTTGTAGTGAGTCTTATAACCAGGAAGTATGAATCTTCCTAATTTGTTCTTCTCATTCAATGTTGTTTTGGCAACTCTTGGGTCCCTTGCAATTCCATTTGAATCTTAGAATCAGTTCAAGGACAAGTCAGCTAGGGTTCTGATAGGGATTACATTGAGTATTGCCATTTTAAAGTAATGTCTTCTGGTCCATGAACACAGCTGTCTTTACATTTAATTGTGTCTTCTTTAATCTCTTTCATCAGTGTTTTATAATTTTGAGTACAGGCATACCTCAGAGATATTGTAGGTTCAGTTCTAGAATACTACAATAAAGCAAGTGTTATAATAAAGCGAGCTGTAGGGATTTTTTTTGCTGGTGGAGGGTCTTCATTTTAATTTGTAAAAACACAACATCTGTGAAGCATTTTAAAGCCACCCATAATAAAATGGGGTATGCCTGTATACAAGACTTTCACCTTTTTGGTTAGGTTTATTCCTGAGTATTTTATTCCTTTTGACATTACTGTGAATATTTTCTTTTAAAAAAAATTAATTTGAGAGAGAAGCATCAATTTGTCGTTACACTTATTTATGCATTCATTGATTGATTCTTGTATGTGCCCTGGTTAGGGAATGAACCCGAAACCTTGGCATATCAGGATGACACTCTAACCAACTGAGCGATCTGGCTAGGGTCTGGAATTGTTTTGTTAATTTCATTTTCGGATTATTTGTTATCAGTGTGCATAAATAAAATTGATTCTTATATGTGGGTCTCTTATCCTGTTACCTTGCTAATATTAATTCTAATAGTTTTTTAGTGTATTCCTTAGATTTTCTATATGTAAGATCATGTCATTTGCACTTAGAGATAATTTTACTTCTTCCTTTCCAATCCGAGGGCCCTTTATTTGTTGTTGTTTTTGGTCTAATCACCCAGTCTAGAACCTGTGGTAGATTGCTGAGTAGAAGTGGCAAAAGCAGACATCTTGTCTGGTTCCTGATCTTAGGGAGAAAGTATTTTTCACCATTGGATATTGTTACCTGTGTTTTTGTGTTTGTTTGTTTTTAATCAGTTTGAGGAAGTTTCCTTTTATTCCTAGTTTGTTGAGTGTTTTTATCATGCAAGAGTTTGTCAAATGCTTTTCTGTGTGAGATGATTATGTAATTTTTGTTTATTATTCCCGGGACCTGAGTTTTGTCTGATGTTGTTTCTAATTCTTTTAGATGAGGAAAATGAGGCCCAGAAAGATTAAGTAAGTTACTAATAAATGGTAAAGCTAGAATTTGAATCTGGGTTACCTTATGTAAAGTTCTAGGATGATAAGAGCTGACACATATTGTATAATTAGATACGTGTGTTTAACCATACAAGGTGCTTTCGCATATTAATCTCTTGTTACACTCCTACCACCAAGTGCTTACTTCATTTAATGATCACTTCAACTTTATATATATTGTACCCATTTTCAGGTAGAGAATCTGACACTTGAGATAAATTGACTTGCCCCACTGAACCATGGCCAGGAAGTAAATGGTACAGCTGTGCTTCTCACTCACAAGACTATTTGACTCTGGAGCCTGCCCTCTTAATTGTTTTTTCTCTGTTATGTGCAGGAAAAGCAGCTGTGCCACATGTGGACAGCTGAGCTCAGATCAGGTTCAACCTTGGATGTCAATGGGCTTACATGCTCTTCAGTCTCCACTTGGACCTGCCTGGCTCGGTCAGCCCAGCACTGTGGAAGCGCTGACTTTTCTCACTGTCTCTGCTCTGTAGCCGACACTCTAATCCAGGGGTCCTCAAACTTTTTAAAGTGGGGGCCAGATCACAGTCCCTCAGAGAGCTGGAGGGCCGGACTATATGAACTACTAATTCCTACTGTAACACCTCGGCTGCGCTCACTGCCCAAAAAACCTGGCGGGCCGGATCAGACTCCTCTGCGGGCCCCATGTGGCCCGTGGGCCGTAGTTTGAAGACGCCTGCTCTAATCTATGGTGGTAGCAAAAGAACCTGTGTATCATTCTGACTCTGTGCAGTTAGGATGAAAATAAATTGTCACTGTGTATAATATAGAAATGACTTTTACAGGTATTTTAGTATGTAAGTTAGCCAGCAGATTTGTGTAATACATTTTACTAAGATATTCAAAGCACTTCACTTATCCACGTTTATATTGCTGGTGAGATTAGATGATATCTAGTTTATTTGAGTGAAGAGGAAAGTTGTCTCTTATTTTTCAAGTTAGAGGCCTTCTTCAAATGTCCATTCACATTTAAAAGGTTGGCACAAAAAGTTGACCTCATGCATGTGTGGGCTGAGGGGCTGGTTGAGTGGTAGATCTCACAGGGGTGGTGAGATCTTATCAGATGGCTGGTAGCCAGTGTTTTGGGAGCCCCAGTAACAAGGGAGACTCCACTATACAGAACCACATTGTCAGTGTGACACCTGTTCCTGCCTGTGCTCACCCGTGCTACGTGTCAACCTGCCCAGGGCATGCAGTCTGGCTGTGCTGGAGCGGGTGCGGGCAGTGCTCTGTGCAGCAGGGAGAGGGTGATCTGAGTGGGGAGCTGCTTCTGATTTAGGCGTCAGTTTTCTCGGTAGCCCCTCTCCCACATCCCTGCTTCTCTTCTGAGTGCTCTGGGGTTTCCGTGGGCTTTGGTGTTTTCAAATGAGCCCTTCCTCCTGCAACATGCAAGAGAACAGAGGACATTCGCATTTCATTTCAGTATAGGATAGCTTTCCATCTCCCAAGATTTTGTTGTCCCATTTGCATTCTTCTTAGGCTCCATTTAGTGACCTTTCTCATGTCCTTTGGTGTTTATACCTGCTTTTATTCTTTGCCATTTTATTAGGATTCCAGGAAGGAATGAAGATAAATGCCACTTGTATTTCTTTTGTAAATTACCTCTTCATGTCCTTTGTGTAATTTTTCTACTGAGATTTTCATGTTTTAATTTGTAAGAACTTTGTGTATGAAAAATATTAACTCTTGACATATGGTGCAATCCTTAGTTCTATGTTAACTTACTTTTGAAATACTTGCTAGAAGGTATTGGTG